CAAAACCCCAAAACCCCAAAACCCGTAAACCCTAAAAACCCTAAACCCCCAACCCTAAAAACCTTAGACCCTAAAGACCCTAAACCCTAAACCCTAAAACCCCTAAACCCTAAAGACCCTAAACCCGAAAAACCCTAGTTCATTCGCCTGGGTCTTGTCGTCCGGCTGCTGCTTCTTCTGCTGGGAGATATCCTGGCTGGGTGGTGATTTGGGGTTCAATGTTTGATTGTTAAACGGCTTCGCATGTTTAGGATTAGAAATTGAATCGCCTTCTTCTGCTTCTCGCTCTTCTCGTCGCTGAGCATGGAGGGCTTCTTCTTGACAGCCTGATGTTTCAGGCAGTACAAACTACATTGCATTATACATGATGCTCACGAATACTGGCTTCTTTGATCCGGCTGCCCCAACAACAACTGGCCTTTGGAGTGCTCCTGTGGGGCTTCTTGTCGTCGGGCTGCTGCTTCTTCTGCTTGGAGATATCCTGGTTGAAGGTGGTGGAGCTGGTGATGGGGGTACAAAAGGGGCCTACACCCATTGGGATAAGAACAATGGCATACATCATGCTCTCAGGTGGGCCTCATCATCATCAGCTTTTTTTCCAGCCTTTTTCTTCTGCTGTTCACGGATTCGCCTCAACTGAAAAGCTGTTGCAGCCGGCGGGGTCTTCTTCTTGTCATTCTTCTCGCTCTTGTTCTTCAGTTTTTTCCTAGCGGTATTCAACTTCTTTCGCAAGGTGTAGCCACTGCAGTTCGCAGGGGCACTCGTTTTCGCCTCGTTGGCCAAAGCCCGATCATCGTCATCATCACCATCGTCATGCGAAGGAGCTTCCTCCTCCACATCTTCTTCTTCCTGCCCCTCCATATAATCATCGCCCTCCTCGTTCTCCGAGTGCTCCACAGCATTCAGGAGCACTTTCTGGAGCAAGGGCTCATCATCATCTCCAAAAGAAGCCGCCGGCCTCTCATCCTCTGCCGCGAGGAAGGCATTCTTCCTCTGAAGAACCCTCGAAAAAACCTCGGCCGGATCCACCCTGTTGTCGCTGCTGCTGGCAAGTCCTGGGCTCATTAGTGTGTCGATGGAGGCATGAAAAAAAAGCCGCAAAGCATTAAGGGTCTAGTGGTGTAAGTCTAAGTATTATTGTTGTTCGAGAGTGAGGGGTTCAGGGTTTTGGGTTTATTAGGGTTCCCTTAGTAATAGAGATGGATCCACCAATCATAGCATCATCGATCTTGGCCTTCTTCGGGCTTGTCCTGCTTGGAGCAGTCTGGCCACCCATCATCCCCCTCTTGCTGCTTGCAGACGTCTCCGATCCAAAGCTGTTCTGGCGGATTCGGTTCTCGGCCGAAGTCAGGGCGATCTGGTCCAAGAGCTTGTGGATCACTCGCAGCTCCTCGGTCTTGGCCTTTTTGGCAACTCTCTCCAAGGATGTCTTTGACAGCTTCAAATCCCGAATATGTGCCAAAACCATTCGGAGCGAGTCGTCCAGGGTGTCCACCGTGTCCGACACAAGCAGCTGCTGTTCATGATCATGCTTCTTCACATTCTTCAGCATAGGGTAGTCGTCGTGCAAACGACGAAAAGCTTCCTTGCTTTTCCTGCTTGTCAAAACACCGGATGGAACCTTTGCCAGAAGCTCGCTCAGAAGCGGCTCTAGCTTCACAATCCAGTGCACCGGTGTCGAGGATTTCCAGGAGGTCCCTGTAGGTGCCGTCAGTGCTTTCAGTAGCCCTGCCCCATCATCGTTGCAGCACTCCTTCACATACGTTTTGAAAGCATTATATATATCCGCAACACTCAAGCTCGGGTCGGCACTCATCCTCGATCGGCTGTTGGCTGGAAACGTCTTCACAACGAGAGGACTCCCGCTGTCACGTTTCGCACGATCTGGGGTTGCCGCGACCTCTTCGATGAGCACCATCGCAGGAAGAAGCCACAGCACTTAAGACCTCAACACTGAAAACCTTCAACAATGCCCACACCACAACACTTAAAGCCTCAACACTGAAAACCTTCAACAATGCCCACCGTAGTGCGGTAAAAGCTAATGTCGAAAACCTCAATATTCTTGGCTGCCACACCACTGCTCAGGCAATTCATACATCATTCTTCTTGGCCCAACAACATGCACGGCCGCCAATCACCGCTGCTACTTACTGGGTTATTTCTCGGGGTTAATAAGGGATCCAGCCTCAGGGTTTTCATCGTCGTCATTATTTCGTGCTTATCAACCAACCCCCCTGGCTCTTCTTGTGCAGGGAACGAGAACACATAGTAGTCCGGTTGTTTTGGGGTTTAGGGTTTGGGGTCTCGGGTTCAAGGTGTAGGGTTTCATCTTTTCGGGTTGTTGTTTAA